GCGAGCAATTTATGGCGAGGAGGGTTGAGATACCCTCAGGCTATCTCACCAGCAAGGCGACAACCTTTTCAGGGGTTTGCGCGCCTTTTGAAGAACTTGCCCTCAATTTCTAGCAGGAGGTTTTGACCTTATCAATCATTCCTGGCGGCTCCCATTAGATTTCTAGCAAAGGCTGTTAAATTGATTTTTTCTTTGTTTAATCGTATTAAAGCCTGAACCTAGGTATCTTGAACATGAATATCTTGGCAAATTTTGCAGGTCGATGGCGAGTTTCGAGAATGGTCAACTGTGACACAAGGTGTAGTGTTGGGCTCATTTTTCTATGGATATATTCTTACACAGGTGAATAGCCATAACCTCCTATAGGTAATGGTTAAACGAAAAAATTCAACAGTTAATGTTCAGATACCGGGTGGCTTTCTTGCACATCATTATGGAGGGAAGAATGTGTTTCTTATAGGAGTTTTCGGTTAGTACTCCACTTAACTCTGTTTTCACTATTGTAGTACATCATAAGATGAATATACTAATGTTGATTTTAGGAACTGCCGTTTTTACACTGCTTACTCCACCTCTGGCAAAGATTGGTTATGGTGTTCTTGTTTTAGCTCGATTTGCTGAAGGAGTGTTTGAGGTACGCTTGTAAATCAGTAGTTTGTCGTTCCAAAAATGCTATCTGAACTTAAGTTTAATGACAATTACTTATATTTTTAACCTTTATTTTTAGGGTGTCACCTATCCCGCTATGCATGTAATGTGGAGCCATTGGGCCCCAATTCTGGAAAAAACAAAATTGGCAACGTTCGCATTTTCCGGCTCTTACTTTGGCACTGTAATATCGATACCGTTATCCGCTATTATCGGACAAACTCTTGGCTGGCCGTTCATCTTCTACTTTTTTGGTAAATCTTCAAAATATTAATAAGATTGCTCGAGAAAAATGATAATCGAATAATGAAATCGAAGAAAACTGAATTTTTAAAGAAAGCTTGTTCAAATCATTTCTCGAAATAAAATAGTGTATCTGTAGTGCATGCGATGCAACACTAATTTTGAGAAAGAAAGAAGAATGGGATATCTTCTTCTATAATTAAAAATGCACTAGATACTTCTTTCTCTACGCTATTTTACTTGATTGCGTGGAAATCCGGTACGCTTCTGCTTTCTTCATTTAAGCTCGCTTACATTGAATTTCATAGTACATATTATTCTTTTTTAAAGAGCTGGTTGATGCAGAAGTAAATAAGGATTGAGAGTTTTACAACCCTCTCTTATTGCTCTTTATTTGTTCCCT